ATGCACGGGCATACATACTGCAGCTGATAGGAGGGTTGCTGATGCCGGATAAAATCGCGCAACCTAGTTCACTGCTGTGGTTGCGACATCTTAGCGACTTTCGTCTCGCCGGATCATTCTGTTGGGGCTCGACAATTTTGGCTTTGTTGTACAGGGAGATGTGTGGAGCCACTGACTACAGGCGTAATGGTATCGGCGGATGTCTCATGCTGCTGCAGTCTTGGGCATGGTATCGATTGCCCTTTTATGTCCCGTTGTGAAGAACCCATTCGTATTTCCACTACTTCTGAGGTAATAATAAAATTGATTTTGTATATTAATAATTTTATACAGCATATAACAAATTTTTTTCCTTGAATAGGTGGTCTACTGATAGAAAAAATCATCAGGAGCAACCTGATGATTTAGAAAAGATAAGGGTGCTAATCGATCAAAAGGCTGGCACACATGTATGAATTTTAATGTTTAAAAATCGATTTTAGATTATAGTTATATAATTAGATTATTATTTTGATAAAAATTATATATTATTTGTTTTAGTTTGAATGGGTGCCATATTCTACTGATGATGTGAGGGCGGTGATCCCACCTGAGTTGAGGGGTCCATTAGATGTTTGGACGGCGATGGTCCCTCTAATATGTTATGCAACCGTCGAGTGGCACTCCACTGATCGCGTGCTCCGGTAGTTTGGTTGTTTTCAACCAATTCTGGAAGCACCTCGTAATATGGACGAGTTGCATAGCTTAGATAGACACGGCAAGACAGATACATATTAGCTGGTGAGGCATCTCGGGTGAGTCGTGTTGTGGGAGGATCGACATAGGCGTCTTCCACGTAGAGAGCCCATTTTTACTGACTTCTTGATGTATGCTGAGGATTATTATGAGTGGTTCAACAGTAACGGGAAACCTTTTCTACTTCCCGAGGATGCACGAATGCAGACATTTCCATGACGTCGACAGAAACGTTCACCGACACAGCACCATCGTCCCCCGACTCGTGGACGGTGAGCAAGTGTTTTCGGTTCATCCTCAGCTGCACAAGCAGGACCTTCCCAGCAGCCACCGTAGCCATATATGATGCCGCAACCATATATGATGCCGCCATCGCCTTTCCATTACCAGATGCCGCTGCCGCCTTCACTCGGTTTTATGACCCCGCCACCGTCACAGATGACCCCTCATGGAGGCTATTATGGGTCTATGTTTACAGACCTGACTTGGGGTTCATATGCTGGATATTTGGCGGGTTCAACATCATCACCCATGGCCGCAACACAGACACTGCCTCCTGTACAGTTTTCCCAGTTTTCGCAGGCCGGTGGGATTATCAGTCATACACCTCCAGGGTCCTTATTCTACGGAGGTACTTCATCGTTATATGCTCCTCATGTACCTGCGGAAGATGACGACGGCGGCGGCGACGACGACGATGACGGTGATGATGATGATGATGACAGCGAGGAGTCAGAACCAGTGATACGAAGAAATCCTCCTCGAGATCGACAGCCACCGCCCTGCGGAACACATTCGCGTCGCAGGCATCGATAGATTTTGTTTTTTATTATATTTGTATTTACTTTATTTTATTAAATTGTTATTTTTTTTATTTCTCATTTAATACTTACTTTATTTTGTTAAATTTGTTGGATTTTTTTAATGTATTTCAGTTCGTTTTTTTTATTACCATTTAATATCAGTTATTGTAATTTGGTTATCATTTACCATTTAATACTTATTGTTATTAGTTTGTTAAAATTTAATGATTGTGTTTGTTTTTTTAATCTTCATCGGTGATTATCAAATGATATTAACTTGAAGTAAATGCAAATTAACGTAGAAGAATTATTATTTGACAATAAAATACATCATTTCCTCATCAATTGTTACTTGATGACAACAGAAGTGGACATGTTTTTCTAGTGTGTCCTGGGTTTCTACAATGCCCACATCTTTTGTCTTGTCTAGATCTTTCTCTAATATCCATATCGTAATGAATTCGATTGGATTTTGGACGACCGCACTCCCTCATTAAACTCGGATTTGGTACAATCGGAAGCCAATCTTGAACCTCATCAGGGTCTTTGTCATTACCTATGGGGGGAAACTCAAATTCGTATACCTTAAAAACTTCAGATAGTAGGTATACGGGATCCATAAAATGGTTATAGTCTTGACTTGTATGCGAGCAAACTGCTATCACATGAGAGCATGGATACTTCAGAGCTTGAAAAAACCCGCATTCGCACGTTCTGTCCCTTAGATTTACTCTTAACGACACAACTTCAATCCCTTGAAGAGGTCGCGACAATTCTGTGACACGAAACATTTCATGCCTTCTAGAGAAGCTTGTTACAGACATTCCATTTGATGCATCAATTTTTTTCTATAGATCTGCAACTAATTTAGGGTGATAGATATGACCGCCTTGCATCCAGGTTTGAGCTTGTTCCCCGAGCTTCGCAAAAAGCGCCCCCAAAGTAAATATGTAGTCTTTACTAAAGCCGCTACTGGTAAGTGACGTGCACCCTTTAAGGTTGAATTGATTGCCTCTGCCAAGTTGGTCGTCATGTGTCCATATCGATATCCACCATCATATGCGTTCGTCCACATTTCTTTATCAATGAGGCTGATGTAATCATATCCTTCCTCGTTATTCCCCCGCAACTCTTGAAACATTGATTCAAATGTTCGAGGAAGTAGTTCGTAACCTGATCAAAAAATGTATAACTTACTAACTTGCTGTCTTTGCAAAATTAAAACGATCGAAAGAAAACAAACTTGCTAAGTTTCACTTACCCATGCGCACAATTAATTGACGCTCATCATTCTTCTTGTACATTCCATGGTAGTTCGCGACAATGTGTCGAAGGCAATACCTATGTTGGACAAAGGGTGGTTGCCACATTGGACCCAAAGACTCCATTGATGCTTTGATCTCAGCTCTGCGATCTGAAATGACACAGATGTTTTCCCTCGTGATAACATGTGCCCGTAAATTTCGGAGGAAAAAAGCCCAAGAAGCTGTATCTTCTCATTCGACAAGAGCAAAAACAACTGGAAGAATGTTGCGAATGCCATCTTGGACAACTGCCAATAATAAAACTTACTTGTATTTTCCATACAAGAAAGTCTCGTCGATCTGGACCACATTTAGGTCGAAGAACCTACTACTTGCACGCCTTCCCCTTGAATTGGAAGACATATCGACATTGAGATCGAAAAAGCTCGTAGTCGAATGCCTCCCCCTAGAGCTTGAAGCCATCGCGTCAAATGGAAACTGCACAGATGGTTGCGTCGATGGCATCTCCATATTAAGGTCAAAGGGATTTGCAGATGAATGCCTTCCCCTTGAACTGGACGCGATGTTGCCATACGGATTGTTCGTGAACCTACCTCGGTACATATCGTAAGGAGTTGCGGATGAATGTCTCCCCATTATGACATTAAAATCATTACACATTACTGTCGTCGGGCTGTCAACTTGATCAACTTGTTCAGTCAGCCCATAGTGGGAGCTTAATGATTGACCCCGAACAGCACGCACTTGAACAAAATGTGCATACATCTCAATAGCGGCGTCTGAATAATTACTTTGAGCTTCAACCATAATTTCAACATCATCGTTGTTTGAAAATTCAAACGCTGTATAAGTTAATGGCAACAATGATGTTGGAAATCTATACTGCAACGACGATACTCTTCTACTACTTCCAACATGAATCTTCATCGAAATCTTCGTTATCAGCTCCTCAAGAGTTATGTTTATCTTAAATGATATTTTAACACACTCATTTGATACGAAAACAACGATGGTTTCATCTTCTCGAATTCTACCATCATAATAAACAATAACTGAAAGTCGCGCCATTATTTGAGTTTAAAAGTGAGGCACAATTAAATCTGTAAAAAAATAAATGAAACAAACCTGATTTAATAAATTATATATGAACGAACATATAACACAATAAAACTTTTACGCATCAACGTAAATAAATTAAATAATATAATTTAATATTATTACCTGCACCGCAAAACTATTTCGACGTATGCTCCCGCTTTCCAATTTTACAAACATAAAAATTAATTGAAAATAATTAGTATAATATTTTTTTCAAATAATCATAATAAACAATAAATATAATAAAAAATTATAACAAATTTACCTTATAACGAAAAATCGCACGAACTTCTAAATAAAATATGAGAAGATTGCCAGAATTATTAACTCGTTGGCGGAATTATTGTATTAATTTATAAGTTGAGAAGAGAGATGTGAGAAATTAACCGGCGGAGAATGATATTTATAGCGAGGAAAGTTATACAAAACGCGGTACCTGATCCCTGCTATATAAAATTATGTCAGAGTAAAGGTATGTCGCGGTACCTGCCCCGCGCTATATAAAATTATGTCGGGAGTAAAGGTATAGCGCGGTACTTGATCCGCGCTATACCCCTACGTGACGTATAACGCACTGTATGGGTCGCGCTATACCCACATGGCGCCAGCTCACCGTATAGCGCGGTGTAGATATCATCGTATAACGCGATGCATGGGCACGTTTTACTGCTAAGGATGTTAGATCAAAAAATATTATCTGACTGATATTAGATCGATAATATTATCGATCACCTGTGATATATCGGGAAAATCGCCCTATTTATCAGCCCCTGGTTTTGTATAATTGAGACAAATCTGGTGTTGGGAATATTAGTTAATATATATATATATATTTCAACTGTCCTAAAATTACAATTTACATTACCCATTTTGGGTTCAACCATTTTTTTCTTATTAAGTTACACAACAAATTAAGAAAAAGTTGATACCAAATCAATTCATCCACCAACATAAAAAATTAAAAATTATCTAAATTAAGATTATTCCTGCAAACCAGAATATAATAAATAAGCATTGCAGGAATTATTTTTCCAGATTCCGGCCACCGTAATATTTTTAGTAAACAAAACTGAAGGAAACTTTTTTGGTGCTCAATTCATTGGAAATTTTTAAAAAATACAGTAACTACTAATGAAACAACGGAGAAGACGAAGTTTCTCTGCTGCAAAAAGGGTAGTTCTTCAGCTAAACTATACACATAAACTGATAGATCACATCAAATATGCCGAAAATTTCTCTTTTTTGGGTATTTTCTCTAATTTACCTTCGATACAACTGAAGGAACATAAAAAAAATTCTAGCTTGTTTCCGGTTGGACGATCGGCGAGTACGGAAAAAATCAGGCGATTTCCGGAAGAGCGGGCTGGTTGAGATCGATATTCAGAAGGGGACCCCATTTGACGTCGTGGCGGTTCAAATCGACGACGGAAGATGAATCAGAATCGATTTGAACGCCGTCGTTAAACGTCGACACGTGGAAATCATGATGATCGAGTTTCAGGCGTTGAAACTGGTGACCGTTCGGCCGAACGAAAGGATCATAGTAGAAGACTTTGCGACCGGGGAAATAAGGCACTACCGAAGCTTGCTGGAAAGGAAACCGAACGGCCGCCGTTGCGTAGCCGGTAACCGTCTCACCTTGTACGAGGTTGAGATCCAACGGCGAAGAATCGATCACGAGAGCCGGCTCACGGCTGGATGATTCGACCGTGCTACTCTGGCTAGGGCTACGGTTGTTGTTGTTTATGTTATTGCCGTAACTTTTACTGTCATTCCCTTTAATTAGATTTTCACAAGGGACGGGAAAATTAGTCTTAGCCTTGGCGCCGCGAAATTCCCGGGCGGCGGCGTCGTAGGCTCTGGCCGCTTCCTCAGCCGTATCAAAAGTTCCTAGCCAAATACGACTCTTCATCCCCGGATCTCTGATCTCGGCGGCGTAACGCCCCCATGGACGCTTCCTTACACCTCTAAAATGAACCTCATTATTATTTTTCCCGCAACCGTTGCCTCCTCCCTTGACGACCGCCGTTTTTTCCTTCGGTGCCATTTCTAAAGGAAAAACGATTTTTTTGTTTAGATAATGGAGATTTTGTGTGGTGTTGACAAAGAACAGATGGCGAAGTTATTCTTAATTTATAGGAAGGGGAGAGTGGAATCGGCGAGGAAATAGAAACGGAATCAGTCAACGAGGGATTTGACTGAAGAGGGGCGGCTTCGTAGAATAGAATCGAGTGGGTGGCGGTTTGGTAAATTAACGAATCTAGATTACGTGGCACGTGTCTTCGAACACATCATCTACGGCTGTTGTATAACACTGTTCATTGCTTGAGGTGGGTTTGGTGGCTTCCATCTCACTCTACTTTCCATTGCGTCGTTTCACATCCCTTTTATAAAAGGTATAATAACAAAATTAACCTCAAAATTTCCACAAATGGTTATTTTAATCATATTTCTTAGAGCATTTAGTCTCTAGTATTTTAATTTTTTTTTTATCAAAATAGCTTATTGTGCCACATCATGTGTTTAATTGATAATGTGGTACGTGTTACATTATCACTTTGATTATGTAATACATATTATGTCATCAGTAAAACATTTATGGAAATATTATGAAATCAATTAAACATGTATAAAAATATCACGTTATTATAATTGTTTTGAGTAACACAATGCATACCTCACCATCAATTAAATAAATATAATATATTATGTTAATAATATGTATCGATCATTTATATAAATGTTGAGGGTTAATTTTGTTGCAAGGCCTTTATAAAAGTGGGGAATAGAGCGCGTGTGGTAATGATGTGAAGTGGGAAAGTGGGAGTTTTCAAAAGAAGCTATCGTCATATTCTGCTATCTCGCCGCGTGACATTGGTTTAGCGATACGATAAATGGGGGGCTAGTGGCCGGACAGGCCTCCTTTTGAACCGCTCGCTTGAAGCAAACATGTGTTTTGAAATTATCCAAAAAAAAAAAACATGTGTTTTGTTAATGGATCCAATCAAGTGCCGCCATGTCCCATTTGTTCCTTAACGCGTGTTGATTGGAACGTGAAAAGGTTTTATCACTCGAACAACTGCTGCCCACATGATTTGCTTCTGACGTTTGCTCGTGTAGTATCGTTTTTCTCCCGACAGCTCCTTTCCTCATTCTCGTTTGTTTTTACGTGAATCACACGCTCTCTTCTTTCACAATTACTCCAATGGTTATATTTTTTCCATTTCATGTGTTTGAGAAAATAGAAGAAATAAAAAGTGGGCTTTAAAAACGAAAAAGGGTTCGAATGTTGCCTTGACCGTTTGAAGCTTTATCGTTTGAGAGCTTTTTCGAGGAGCCTATCGGAGTTAGGAGGTCGTCGGATCGAGGAAAGTAAAAAGGGTTTTGATTTTGGGAATTTTAGCTTCGGTTCATGACACTTTGGGTCGATCTAAGCACGGTTTAGGGTGGTGACCATTGCAAATCGCGGGGCCATCACAGGCGCATGGTGGCCAATCTTTCTTTTTTGGTTTTGATATGCAGCGTCGCTTGATGAAATAAGAGGGGGAGCTCGTGAGAAGAAGAAACAAATCGGGTAAAAAAAAAACTAGGGCTTAGGTTTTCAAAGCTGATAGAAAAGACAAAAGATGGGCTAAATATTTGAAATAAAAGGGATAATTCCCATTTAGTCCCCCGTAGTTTTTTAAAACCTCTAATTTAGCCCCTTTAATTCCATTTAATCCCTAATTCCTTTTAAATTCAGCCCTTAATTTCGTTTCCCTTTTAATATAATCATTTTATTTATTTATTTATTTATTATTATTTATTATTTTTATTATTTTATTTCTTATTGTTTTTATACGATATTATATTTTTTTTCTATTTGTTTATCTTATTTTTATTTTATTATATATATATATATATTTTATTTGTTCTTTTTATATTTTACTTTTTAGGGTTTTTTGTTATTATTTTATTTATTATATATATATATTTCTTTTTTATTAATTTTTTACTTTGTTTGTTTATTTATTTATTTATTTATTTTTATTTCCTTTATGTTTTTTTATATTATTGTTTTTGTTTATTTATTGATTATATATAGTTCATTACTATTTTTTCCTTTTATTTATTTTCTTTAGCTTATCTTTATTTTTATTTATTTTTATTCTTTATCTTTTTTTTATTTTTATTATATTTTTATCTTCATATTATTTTTTTATTTCATTTATTTTATTTTCTCTAACTTATTTATTATCATCATATCTCTCGACTTTTTAAGGATACACTTTTAAAGCTATCAGAGGTAAGTAATTCGGGTCTATTTTTACCTTTTTAATTAAGCTTACAATTTTCTTAATTAAAGAAACTGAAAATTATGTTGTACCGAAAGGGCTATTCAATGGTGTTAATCATTTCTTGATTGTAACCGACTCCCGAATCCAACACATCTTTGGTAAGACGCAGATTAAGTAAGAAATAAGGTATCCGACCGATCAATTTTATTCTTAAAATAAATTATCGATGGCGACTCCAATTCGTTTAATCCACGTCGAAACCTAATTTCGGGCTCAACCAAAAGACGGCCGCGACAACACCAAAAGTAAGATAATTTAGACACTTATTTTTTGTATTAAGCCTATTATTTTAATAAACTTTAAATCAAATTCTAATCTTATCTAGAGAGGAGAACAAAGATTCTAGGGAATTGAGGGATGGTCTTACTAAGTCTATGACTCGTAAAATAAAAGAAAATAAGAGAACAAATATGAGAAACTTTATCAACCTACTAAATGTGTTTACTTAATAATAAATTTATATCTAAATTAATTCCATTGAAAATAATAATTATTTTTCCTTTGAATATTAAAAAGGGGTAAACTTCGCATTTAGTGTATAAATTATCAATTTTGATTTGTTTTAGTGCATACATTTTTAAATTTTTCAAAATCATTCCGAAAGATTAGTTTTTGTTTCATTTTAATATCTTATCAAAAAAACATAACGAGTTTAATACCTTAACTATTAATTTTAGCACATCAACTCTCAATTTTTTTCATCAAAACTTAACATTAGGTTTTGAACAGGATATTAAAATGAAATAAAAACTAATTTTTTTAACAATGAGGTACTAAAATATAATAAAAAATAAACTTTAAATATAATTAAAAAATTAAATATAATTAAAAAATTAAATATTAAAACAAATTAAAACAAATTAAAATTAATAGTTTAAAATACTAAACACTTAATTTAAGATAAAAAAAAAACCGAGGGAAAGATAATATCGGGTAACGAAAGAAAATGAACACGCGTTGAATTGATAAACTAGTTAATACTGCTATTATTATTAGAGAAAATCGTCTCAGTGACCAAAAAAAAGTTATAATATACGATTTTAACCAACTTTTTTTGGATTTGCCAAAATGACCAACAAATTCGCAACGCGAAATAAAAATCGCAACGCGATCCCCAGAATCGCAAATCAGTTTCCAAAATCGCAACGCGATTCTTGAAAATCGCGATGCGATAGTACAAATTCGCATTGCGATTTTACATAATCGCAACGCGAACACATAAATCGCAACGCGTATCCGTAAATCGCAACGTGTATCCGTAAATCGCAACGCGTATGGGTAAATCGCAATGCGTATCCGTATATCGCAACGCGTATCCGTAAATCGCAACGCGTATCCGTAAACCGCAACGTGTATCCGTAAATCGCAACGCGTATCCGTAAATCGCAATGCGTATCCGTAAATCGCAACGCGTATCCGTAAATCGCAACGATAATCCGTAAATCGCAACGCGTATCCGTAAATCGCAACGATAATCCGTAAATCGCAACGAGAATCTGTAAATCGCAACGATAATCCGTAAATCGCAACGAGAATCTGTAAATCACAACACTGAAATTTTGGGTATATAACACTGAAATCATAAACTAAATCCCTAAATCGCAACTCATTCCATCTCCATCTATCACTCTCTCCGGCGACATCCGTTCCTATATCCAACGACATCCTTCCCAATCCGGCAACAAGTTTTAGTTTCGCAGCTCGTCTGTTTAGTAAATTAATTTACAACCATGAAATCATCTAATGTTGATCATGTTTGGATAGATTTGTGTTTTGGAGGGTCATGGGATAATGTTCATGGTGTTTTACAATATATGCCTTTACCCATGAATCTTCAACTAAAATTGTCTTTACAAAAGTTAACTTATGAAACTCTAATGCTACGTGTTTCAAATAAATTGAATTTAGAGCCCCTAAGTGGATTTAGGCTATCTTATCAGAGAAATGGTAAAGTTTATTTGTTAACCGACAATGAAGATGTTGAACGATTCATTGCTTACATTAGTGTTTCACAAGATGATGTTACATTGTATGTTGTTGAACCTAGAAGTAGTATTGTTGGGTCAGTAGCGGGTAGTAATCAACTAAGTTTTTCTCAAAACCCACAACCTTTCTCTAATCCAAATCCCAATCAACTTTCAGCACCAAATTCCGGTTTTCGTATTGACCAGTTAGACGATGATGAGCCAACAGAAAAAATTGTGAGTACTAGTCAGTATTCGAAATTTGGTCTTGGTCAATATCCGGACTTTGATATTGGTCAATACACGGATTTTGATGATGTTTCAGAAGAAGAAACAGACCATGCGTGTAATGATATTGATATTGGTCAATACCCGAATTTTGATGATGAAACAGCCGTTGCCGAAGAATGTAATGTTGATGATAATGAGGAGGAAGTTACGACTGTGAATGAACATGTTGAACATCCATTCTGTAATTCATATAATCCTGAAGAAGAAAAAGAAGAAGAAAAAGTCCCCGAAGAAAAGAAAATGCCACGGGCGTATAACTGGAATATGCCAGAATTACTTCAGATACCGGAAGAAGAGTTGATAAAGAAAGCAGTTGATTGTTACACAAAAGTTATTCGTATCAAGAAAGATGATTGTTTTGATACAAAGGAAGACTTGAAGATAGCTTTATATACGAAATGTGTGGAAGATGGCTATCAACTAAAAGTTAACAAATCAAGCAAAGATCGTTTCGAAACAAGGTGTATGATTGACAAAAACTGTACGTGGCGTATGATTGCAAAGAGAATAAAAGA